TATATATACATACATACAGATTACAGCAGCAATGGAATGGTGCAAATAAAATACAGCTTTGAGCCATAAATAAATTAATAAATATAATGTAAACATAATGGAAAATTATGTTTGAATGATTGTGTATGTGGTTATGGTTAGTGGTGATAGAGCAGAAGTCTGTTGTGAAGTCTTTGGTGGAGTGCATGAAAGCAGTTCAGATGAATCTGAAACACTGTTTTCCTTTGAGCCGTCTCAACTCGGTTTAATGGTAGCAGTTAAGAGGAAGCCACTGCAGCTGTATTTCATCTCACACTTTCACAGCTCCATATTTAGACTCCAGCTAATGTCCTTTCATTAAAGTTTTCAGATGATCATTGGAACGATCATTAGCCACCCATCACCCTTCACTGCATTGTTATCCTTTGTTACAGAATTGCTGGATGTCATCTTTCTGATCAGCACTGTGAAAGTTTGTCTTCAGCTCTCCAATCATCAAACTCCCATCTGAGAGAGCTGGACCTGAATAATGACCTGCAGGATTCAGGAGTGAAGCTGCTGTCTGTTGGACTGAAAAATTCAGACTGTCAACTGAACATACTGAGGTTTGAGTTTTACATTGGTTCATTCAGTATGTTGAAATATGTTAATGAATAGTCAATTAAATCCTCAGAACCCCATCACAGATTAAGTGAGCTAGTGAATCTGGATCAGTTTGTTTCATGAACTATTTGCAAAAAAGAATGGGTCAATTCACCTCAAGTGATGCAATGGAGGTTGCTTAACCATTTTTGGTATTCCTTTTTATTGAGTGATTACCTTTATTTATAGGTATTGCAAATCACTATTGTTTTTATTTTACTTAGTTTAACCACAGTGGTTAAACCAACTTTTTATGGCACACAACAAAGTTTGGTTATACAGGGGTGTATCACTATATCATAGCTCCTTGGAACAAAAATTTATTTCTAGATTGCACATTGCATGAACATTTTATATTTGTATTAGCTTTATTATATGTTATATACATATTAACTTTAAAGTGCCCCTATTATGCTTTTACAGATATTACTTTTCATGTAGTGTGTAATATAGCTGATTGTGAATGTAAAAGTTGTATAAATGTAGTTATCTACCGATAGAAAGAACAGATTTTGAACTGTCTAAAATAAGTAATCAGTAATTCCAGTGTGATTTTCTGCACAAACCTACATAGGTTTGTAACACATTTGTTACACATAATGATCATCATTGGCTGCCCGCGAACTGTGCATACTTTGACCGCCTTCAAACACTGTATAGTTGTAACCAAGGCCTGGAAGATTTGATTTGTGTTGTTGCGATGTCTAAAAGAGGCTGTTTTCTGTGCTGTGAAAGCAAAACCACTTTTCATGTACTCTCAAAGGAATAGGATGTGAAGAGTCAGTGGTGAAAATTTATTTTACAATGTTTCTATACCAAATGTGAGCAACTGTCACTTTGTCATGTCCAATGTGGACAGCCATTGATTGCATTGCGACACAATGGTGTTACAATGACAGCACAGTAGCATTGCAAATCTTGCAGAGTTCAATGAGGGATTTGCAAAACACATAATCATTAAAGATGGGGCAATATGGAAGTAAAATAATGCCATATGTCTTTGAAACAAAAAAGCATGTTGAATAGCACTAACTGAAAAAATAATGCATTGCATTAACAGTGCTTGCATTTTAATGCCTTGTATTTCCAGGGCTTGCATTTTTAGGTCCTGAAATCTAACATAGTTGTTGCACATCCGGGATCTGCAGGAATAGCAGTAGAGCACCTATGCATGAAGACCAAAGCAACAGGTGGATTAAGTCATTCATTTACAAAAACAGAACTGCAGAAATGGAGCAAGCACTAAGTAGAAGTTTTGATTATCGGGGCCAGTATAAACATGTGGAAAAGCTGATTGTGGGTATGTTTAATTCAACATCTTCGCTGTTTCCTGTAGCCTACATGTAAGCAATGTGCTCTACCACAAAGGAGATTATAATGCTGTTTTACCCAACGCTGAAGTACAGAACTAACATTACATCTGAGGAAGACATATATTGCTTTCGGTTGCTTAGTTTCCGTAACTTTGTATCATGGCTTGTGTGATGCTGTGCTGTAATACTGGGGTTCCCCCTCATATGTCACACTCCAGGATTCCCCAACGACACATAACTGCGCCTCAGTGAACTAACACAGTGATATAAGACCTCAGATCTCAGAATACACTTTATTGATGATTATGCAAACTATATAGAGGCAAGCAAATTAGGTCAGAAGAACGCAGAAGAGCTGCATTTTCTTTATAGATCAGTGGTAAGGGAAAGCAATTATAGAGTCGACAGACCTACAAAGATATCGATACCACGATTAGTTTTAACAATATGCAACCACTTTATATCGACATAAAAAAGAAGTTCAAAACCGCCTAGGTGTATTATTGCTGCAAATTTAAACCGAAGAAAGTATTGACGCGCTATCGCACCCAAGGGACCGTCTGACAATTCCACTGACTGGGTTAAAACGTCCAATGTATTTTAATTAAAATGTAAAATAACACACTGTCAAATTCTAAAACTTGTACTGCTTATAGTGATTTTCTACAGGTGAGATTTTGCCAATACCTCCCTTCATATATGTACAGTACACAATTATTTACATATAAAAGATCCCTGGAAAGGGTTTTTTCATGTTCCAACGGTTGTAGTAGCCTACGTTGCTAGATACAAGACTAACTTACTACAGGTTAGATTTTGCCAATATCTCCCTTACAGTATGTACAGTACACAAATATCTTTTTTTTTTTTTTACTAGTCACCAAAAGGTTGTGCTACGTTGCTAGTTACAAGACTGACTTCATGTGATATTTTGCCAATATCTGCCTTACTGTATGTACCATTCACAATTATTTAAAACAAAAACTAAAAAATCTGTAAGACCCCAAAAGGGATTTTTCATGTTCCAAAGGTTGTATTATAAAATATTGATGTACCTTATGTACAGCAAGGGAGGTATTAGCAAAATTCTACCTATAGTAAGTCAGTCTAGTCACTAGGAATGTACTACAACCTTTGGAACATTAAAAAAAAAAACTTATGTGAATTACAGTAATTTCTTAAAGGGGTCCTATTATGCTTTTTCACTTTTTCAACTTTAGTTAGTC